GCTAACTGAGCCCTTCTCAGTGCTTTACAAGGATGTTTTCTGTCACCTGTACTATTCTCACTTTGTGTTGCAATTGACTGGGTTATAAAGAACACCACGCAAGTCAAAAGACAGGGATTGCAATGGACATCGACCTCAATCCTAGAGGACCTGGATTATACTTATGACACCGGCCTCCTATCAAACAGACATCAGAATATTTAGCAGAAGACAGAGCTCCTCAGTGCAACATCTAACAAATTCGGAGTTAAGATCAACACCAGAAAGACACAGGTTTTACGAGTAAACACCACCAAAAGTAATCCAGTACTGACCAACGGCAAGCCACTAGAGGATGTTGAGGAGTTTACATACCTGAAAAGCAAGGTTATTACAACGGGGGAATGCGGCAAGGAAGCCGACACCAGGGTTAGCAAGGCAAATCAGGCTTTTGCAATGTTGAAACCCATATGGAGATCCACATCACTCAATATCAACACCAAGATCAGGATCTTCAACAGCAATGTCCTTAGTGTCTTCTTGTATGGACCAGAGTGCTGAAAAACCTTTCTGGCGATTGAAAGAACACTAGAAGTCTTCCAAACCAAATCCCTCAAACGTATTCTCAAGATCGTTTGTTCTAACACCATCTCAAATCAAGAAGTATTGGAAAAAACTGGGCTGCCTACAATATCCCAGACAATCCAAATAAGACGCTGTCAATGGCTTGGTCATGTCCTGCGCTCATGCCTCCTAACCCACTGCCCTGGATTACTCTTTAATGGGCACCCCTGAGAAAAAGAAACAGGGGCCAGCCAAAGGAGACTTGGAGAAGAACTGTCCTGGAAGACCTGAAGAGCAGAGGTCTAACCATGTAGACAGCACCACGAGCAGCTGCAGACCGAGCCAGATGGAAATACCTTGTAGCCGCCTCAAGAATATGATGGCGCAGAGAGGATTGAGTGAGTGAGTGTTTTTTAAGCGTTTACAATTTGCAATGTAAAGAATGAATCGTTTAAACGTCCACATTTGGCATAATTTTGCCCCAATCTTTCCATTAAACATTGTAGTTTATTAATTTCAATTTAAAAATTTGCTTTCAGAAACTGTAATTCGGTATTTTTCTGATTAATATAGCAGGGGTACATTGTTTACATCAATTTCTCATAGGGCCACACCCCATTTTGTAAGCCCATTTTTTATATGAGCGCATTGATGTTTCAATTTGCCGTTTTTATGGACAACGTAAAAAGTAATACTACATTAATCATTTACATCCATGAAAGAAATTGAAACAATCGTGCGCTCAATTTTCCCAAAAACCTCAAAATCACGGGTACTTGTCTCTATAGTAAAGAATTCAACCCGTCTTTGACCTTTAACAAGGCATTGTGATTTAAATCTATTCACTTTCACGCTTTGAGCATCGTGTCTAGAGTGTCTGCGATCTATCCATTGTCAAATCTTATTCCATCGGCTAAAAATACTTGGACAACCCTTCTATTTGAAAATACTTGTATTTTGGGGGAGTGCATACTTGATTTATCTACATGTATATGCAAGGTTGTTATTGAACGTTATTTTTGCCATTTTCCGTTTGTTTTTTTTTCTTTCGGGGGCTATAGCCTACATCTGTTAGTTAATCACTGCATATATTTATTAAACATAATTAAAAATTCTCTTTAGGTATCGTTGATTCTGCTTTTTACTGTGTTTATACACTGAACCAAACTTCTAAGTGTTCACCTAACATTTTTTTTAAGTTTTAAAGAACAAATGCATTCAATAAATAATTTCTTTAATTCATGGTTAATGATTCATATTTCAGTTCAATGCTGCGTAAATTTCATGTAAGTAATTCGTCAGAACTTTAAGCAAAGTGTCAACGAAATGATGTACCCTCAAAATAAAAATTCACACTAAATATTCTCTATGGAGTAAGACCACCACTCGCTCTAATTACTACACGGCAATCTTTACTGTTGGATACCATGTACCCCTGAATAGGAAATTGACCCATCTGCTGCAACACTTACTGCATAGATCTTTCCAAACCGTTGAAATTGTGTGAAAGGGGGGGGGCTCTTACATTCCTTATAAAAATCCCAAATGTGTTCAATGAGATTCAGATCCGGAAATTTGGCAGTGCATTATCACACAGATGCATTTTTGTCAATATCCTAGGGTGTTTAGCACGTACGTGCACCGCTTTAAGGATGATTCAGACTGCTTGAACTGATATTCGACTGTCACGAGCACCGATTTCTTATCATTTTCATACGATTATACGATTGAAATTGTTTGAGTTCATGTTTCTAAGATTGTTTTAGGACAATTTAACACTCTTTTAACCTAGTGTGTGCGAAATTTTGGCCTTAGACGAACATCAAGGTCACTTCCTGTTTGGTTCAATTTCGTCCAAAACTTCCAAATTGGATAAATTGGCAATGAAAAATGACGCACAGCCTATAGAAAAATGTGTTTAAATGGGTTCTGATATTGATTGTTTATTTTTAAAAGTAATATCAAGGACAATTATACTCTTGCATGAAAGATAGTAAAACGTGGTGCAAGGATGGTCCAGATATTATCATTCCAACGGCTCTCCCTTCTATCTCAATGGTCATTTTGCCAATGTTTTGTGTTTTTTAGTTAAACCAGTTTTTAAAATTTGATAATGATCACAAAAAGATGCTAATTACACAAAGAACGTGACGAAAAGTATAGATTTATTGTTTTTAAGCGTCGTCACAGAACATTGGTTTTCACCGGTGATATTTTATTTTCTTTCTACAATTGTTGAGAAGACTCATTTGTTGTAATAATTTAAAAATATCATACCATTCTATAAAGTAGTTTTCAAATAAATACATTTATTAAAGTGAACACTTAGAAGTTTTGTTAAGTGTATATTATACACGTGCGTCTGTTTCAAGTAAACTCTCAAACTGCTGGAAGATATTAAAAGTTATAGTCCTTTTTTCTGTAAAAACCGTCATTTTATACACTGTTATAATTGGAAAACACTTACTAGTATTTACCATGCCTAAAAGTATAAACTGTGTTGTTTGTTAAATCTAATCGAAGAACCCTCAAGGGAAAGATAAACGAAGTACGGAGGACTGAATTAGCGCGTATTACGGGAGGAAAGGTCACGGGGGATGACCACATCTGCACAAAATGTACCCTCGATATGAATAGGGGGAAGCTTCAGACTTATGGGGGCAATGTTGACGCGAAAACATTTTACATCGGCACAAAGTCAAACAAATATTGTGCTATTTGCAGATCCCGTAAAAGTCAATGAAAACTGTTTCTAAGAAAGCCTGCGGACAGGTATTTCTTAAACATAATGTTATATTGCACGAAAAAGCACGTGTATGCCCCTCTCACTTGTCCAATGAACGCATAATTAAAGATCAACATTATCCTGGCTTTCTATTAATATTCAACCGCATACATATATTTGTTGGAACACTCAGTTTTTTTTTTTTTGCAAAATTATATGCTATTGATGATCAATTCGACGTGTAAAAAAACTTACATAAAATTATTATCGCTTTAGAATTAAAATAATTATCCCTTGAGAAATAAGCTAGGTTACTGTAAAATCCTAGTCCTAAAAATACCATCTTTTGTAAGACATTATGTTTACAGACACCATATCATTGTGTTTACATTCTACACTATTTCAACGAATTTCAAAAATAATTGTTTCATTGATATACTCGTTTTAAAGCTAAGCAGTAAAAACAAAACCTAAACCTGCCAATATTATTACATAATATTATGGTCGGTCCCAAGCCCGAAGAAAAGGTGAGGGATTTTTAAGATTGTTTAGTTATTTAATAAGATATCACTTAAAAACTATATTAAGTACACGTCGAACACTCGATAATATATGAATTCACACTATTCGCACGCTTGATTGACGCTCCGCCTCCTTATTCAAATAATACAATGACCTACATAGCCGCAATGGCGAAGTTGAGATTTGGCACTGATGTATGCAATTTTATTTCATTGATATTATGTATATATTGAGAGTCTCTCTATCAAAAAAGATTTTGAAGTGTTTGTATTCATACCATACTTGTACATTTTAGCTAAAATATGTCAATGTTCTGATTTGAAAAGGAAGAAATCCGTGTTTAAAAAGGGGCCAGATCGCAATGTTATGAAGAGTCATTCTTTAAAATCCGAAAACGCACGTTTAGTTTCTATATCTTGTGCACGCCTATCCTATGTGTAAATGAGCGCGATTCTAAGGGAGGGGGGTACTCCGTGTAATTTGGAGTTAGATCCTTTGTGTTATTATTATACTATGGGTTTTTATTCCAGAAGCAAGTGCCTGTGGTCGATATATCTAAATGTCGAGTTGAAGACCACAGCAAGTGTTTTCCTCTTTTCACAGTACAAGATTTTGGCCAAATTTCTGCTTCATATGAATACAAAAATAGGTACATACATTACGTTTACCTGAAGAGAAATATGAAACAAATTAAAACCAAATTTATTAATTCAATGATTGGGTTGTTTTTTGTTTAACGTCCCTCTCGAGAATTTATCACAAATATGGAGACGTCGCCTGACTTTCCGGCGGATAGCTACAAATTTTGTCCTTTGCTCGGCACTCACGGTAATTGAGCAGTGAGGGATCTTTTTCATGTCAGCCTCTGCTGCAACACGAGATCTCAGTTTATAAGGTCTCATCCCAAGGACCGGTCTCCACGTCCCACAGTGGGATTCGAACTCGCAACGTAAGGATCGACTCCTTACTTTGCAGCTCTAGAGCAAAAGCTCTCAACCATTTACAGAAAATATCAAGCAATTTTTTAAAACTTTAATTCATGATTTCTATGTTTCTATCGATGAAGAATTATTTCATCCAGGTAAGGAAAAATAAAGCGTATGTTCTTATTCGTTTCCACTCAAACGAACATAAATAATTTTTAAAATAACAACACGTATATAGGTACAGAAGCGCTCTCGTAAGTGCATGCAGTTTAATTGCAAACAATAATACAAATACAACTTTACTTCTCCGCAACTTTTAAATCTACAAAACAAAAAAGTATAATTACCGATAATAAAAACCAACATAATATTTGTGAGGGTCGGCGGGGAATGTATGACTGCACTGTTTGAGAGAGAGAGAGCTTCGAATTGTGTTTAACACACGGTAAAACCTGCGTGCTTCAATAGAATACCCGTAGAACAGATTGATGCTCTCTTTTTATGCATCAGTCGAAAACGATATACAGCAAAACTCGGTTATAACGAAGTCGCTGGGACCTTTGAAATTACTTTGCTATATCCGAAATTCGTTATAACCGTATGAAAAATTCGTCAAATTTATATAGCTGGGGATTGAAAATGACTTCGCTATATCCGTGAATTCGCAATATCCGTGTTCGTACTAAACGAGTTTTACTGTATTTAAAAAAAGCTTGTAGAGACAAAAGAGTTACATTAATGATAATATGTAAAGCATATTAGAATACAAAGATAGGAAAAAGGTGACTCGACCCCAGATTTAAAAAGAAAAGAAAAATGGAAAGGGGGTCCATACCCCAAATGCCTGTGGACTGAAGTATATCGACTTAAATTGAGACAAAATTTGCCATGACTTCTGGTGCACAGTAGAACTTTTCCACTTACCGGATTTGGGGACAGAATAAGTGTAGTTAATGCCAGTATTTTTCTTATCACCATATCTGTAGTGCTAAAAAAAAAGATGCATTTTATTTATGCGCACTGTAAATCACCTTTAAATATCTGTACGAGTAAATATATTTCTCTACACAAACAATTTTTACGAATACACCGTCTCGCATAAATACGGAAAGGAAATATTTTTTTCCCCCAAAAAAAGCATTTATTCATCCCTTTTGACTGGTGAAAACTATTGAGACATTACCTTAATGATCACTGGTTCAGTCAGGGGTCCTCTAGCATACAGGTCTTGACGATTGAAAACAAACATCCAATACGTACCGGCGAAATTCGTTGGGTTCTTTGTCGTATCCCATATTATTTGTTGAATGCTGGACAGAATTACACGTCCATCTTTGTTGTAGATTTCTGAGACAAATGTAGATGTTTCATGTTTTATTCAATTCAATTTATTATGAAAAATCAATTTATTTTGGAACAAATAATAATACACGGCCTCAGAGTCTGGGTATACAATGCAATAGGTTGTTGGAAACATGCAGTAACTAAAGTTATCTGAATAATGATTATTAATTGTGTATCTTGTAACTTAACCTATAAGTTAGGATTACCTTTATAAAAAAACCTATTTTTTTTAATAACGAATAAACTTAGATGATAATGTCAGACTAAGTCAAATACAAGTAAATTAATACCTTGATAAGCTGTAAAAAGTTGTCATTGTGCACTTATCTGTTTTGGGAATGTCCCGATGTATTTTTGAGATTTTTGAGATTTTGCCTTTTTTCTTACTTATGTCAGTTTACCATGTTACTTAGAATATAAATACATTACCTACATAGTTTTCTCTCATGACTTGCCAGTCAAACCAGAAATGTATGTTAATCGCTCCCACGGGTATCTCAGTGATTGTCTTCCTTGTGTCTGAAAACAGTAACATCAATTACACTGTATACACTGTAAACATGGCTTTCATATGCGATGGATGTGATCACGGTTAAGGTCAGACGACACGTTCCTCAAATATATTGTATCTCTTGGTATTATATCAAAAATTATTCATATTTGTCATTCTCTTCTGATTTCTACATTGTTTTCAAATCGTTTTTAAATATTAGTACACCAAAAATTGTGTTAAAGGCCATTTAGAAGATTACCCATAAGGGCTATATAAGAAATAGTACCCTATGCTATCTTAGCCAAATGCCTGGTAAGGTACCCTAATTTTTTGTGAGGATACTTGTTTAAGTACCTATACTTCAATGACAAATTCTTAGGAAAAATTATATATTTTTGAGGAACGTGTCGTCTGACCTTAACGTCAGCATTTTCTCATTTATATGCTCGTTATTATTACCTTGTTGGTATAAAATATATTTTATCACTGGATGGTTTTATGACTGACTTGTTTCATACCAAACACGAAACCTTTGTTCTAGTAAAATATACTAAATTTGACCACAAAATGTTTCGTTTATTTGGCCAATACATTGGGTTCATGGAGGAAGTGACCAGTTATAAGGGCCTGAGATGCTTGCGCCTTTTAGGCACCTAATCCCTCCTCGAGTTTCCATGTCTATGCCCTATTCACAGATTTGTTTTGTTTGTGGTTTTTATGAGAATTCATCTTCACTCTTTTTTCATTTCTACATGTTAAATTCTTTTTATTTCTTTTATCCTTCCTAAATCTTGCAACTGTATGCAGGGTTAAGTCTATGAGTTATAGGATGTTACGTGCATCGTGCTGTTGTCTCCGTATAGGATCCTTTCACCACGTCACACGTAGTCCCGTCTCCCTTACACACGCCACACACGTCATATTTAGCGTTCAGCTCTCCGTTACAACCGAAAAACTAAAACAAGGTACTCATTACATATAAATGTCATTCTTGAAAATTGTTATGATGCTTCACAACAGGGATATAGCTTATTGCCAGGGGCAACTTAAATAATTTTGTCACATTTTACACCGGGTCCTGGAATTATGAAACAAAGCTTATACCAAAATCTTTATTTCGTTCTAAAATATTGAAGACAAGAAGTCAAAGATAGAAATGTTTTAGATAATTTTTTTTAAATACTAAGTATTGTGTCACAGAATTTGTATTATCTTCAAATTAACATTCATTAAAACTTAATAAACGAGTTACAAACAAGTATTTTACAATTTGACTTAAGTTTGAGTATGCTTCATGATACAAGTTACATGATACGTGTGTCAAGTTAGTCTTCATTGTTGTTCGGTATAATCGTATATTATTGTATACCCTGCAATATCCGTCCAGACATCTAAAGCTGTATTCTGACCATGGTTTGTCCTTTTCTTCAATGAGTCCCTCACAAGGAGTTCCCTGGGGGATTAAGCCAAACCTATCATAACTGTAGGTACGGTACCCCGGCACCGATTCACACTTCACCTCGCATTTCAAATGTCCTAAAGAGGTGAGTAAAATAGTCATGAAGTTTTTTTTTCGTGAAGCAATTTATGTATTTGATTTAATTCAGCGAAAAGATTTTTAAAAGATACTTTATAAGGCTTCATTTTCTCACTCATTTTATATCTGTGAACAAAGTAAAATTAAAGACTCTCTCTCTCACCATGCCAGTCCATTTTCCTCCCAACCGATGTGTACTTTGTAGAGTCCAATACTTTATTCTTTAACATTCTACTGCAGGTTTCAGATGCCCGCTGATTTATTAGCGTGTTTATGTCGGAACTGTCGTTGGGACAGGGCTACAATTATTTATAAACTATATTTATTTATCAGTTCAAATACATTATTTGCTATTTGCACCTTCTTTACTTTAGATATAAGATCCAATAAAGAGAAAGGTTAAAAATATTAATGATTGAGAGAGTGTTGGATAGGTTTGCCGCGTGTTTGATTGGTTTACCGGGTGTTCGATTGGTATGCCGAGTGTTCGATTGATTTGCCGCGTGCTCGTTTTTTTCCCGCGTGTTTGATTGGTTTGCCGCGTGTTCGATTGGTTTACCGGGTGTTCGAATAGTTTGTCGCGTGTTCGATTGGTTTGCCCGTGTTCGATTAGTTTGCCACGTGTTCTATTGCTTTGCCACGTAATCGAATGGTTTGCCGCGTACTGTATTCGATTGGTTTGCCACGTGTTCGATTGATTTGCCTACCTCGGGATTACAAGTCCTGGCTTCATATCCATTGTCATCACCGCCTTCACAGCCTGGGTGGTTCAAAGGGCTTTATCGATGAAGTAAAAGTATCATAAAATTATATAATATACACACTGTTATTTTCCCTCAGATTGTCAATATCTCACAAAATATCTGAGTTTATAGTCATTAGAAAACTTGGCATATTAAATTCAATATTTAAAACCTAGGACTGTTGCAAAGTCTCCTTCTGTATGTTAGTCCAGTTCCACAAGTCCTGGAGCAGGGCCTCCAATCTGTCCACGGTCCCCATCCCCCGGGCCTAACAACGCCTGGTTTTACTTTAGCCTCTGCAAACGTCTGACAAGTTCGATATAAGCAAATCTGGGGAAAAAAATCAATTAAGATATTTGAACTTTTGGTCATTATAAGCATTTACGCAGTATAACTGGAAAGTTCTATTGGACCTACCTTCCCTGTATCGCAGTAAATTCCCTGAGGACCGCTAATGTATTTAGTAAACATTCGCCCAAACAATTCGCCTTCGTTATAGTCCACACAGCTGTATATAACGTCGCATGGCTACGAAAATTGAAACATATATATCTCACAATGCATTATAAATCAATTATTCTAGATTCAGAAAAGGAAAGAAAAACGTGCTCTTACCGGGAGGTACGAGAAATTCCGGTAGTGAAAATTAGGACCATAATTTAGCTCGCATATTTCATCTGCACTGTACTTCTGACCTATAATATTTACCAAAAAAAAAGGCTCAGCATATTTGAAATTGCCGGTATATCATAACACCATTATGAATGTTTAAAATATATATCGTCACTCGCGTGGCGCTCTGGGTAGAGATAAGGCTGGCAGAGTTAGGAGTCAGGTCCCGAGTCGCAGTAGATTCTGGCATGAAAAGAACCCTTATACGAGGGCTGTTCAATAAATGATATCCTGGATGCTCGGAAAGAAGCAAAAGACGCTTTTCAATGATTTAGTCCTCGTGATTTAACTCATTAATCTCTTTTAATTAAAACTCATGTCCGCAATATTCTCTGTCCTATATCTGATTGTTTTTAGAACTCATTTTAGGGTATGATCCTTTGCCTACTAGAAAATGGCAGATCCAATGATTTCCTGGACTTGTTTCTTCCTTCTGACAGGTGTTTTTTCAAGTTTGGAAATAGAAACAAGTCAAAAGGTTAAAGATCTGGCGAATATTGTTAATGTAAAAAAACATTAACTTTCTGTTTATCCCCAAAACCCCTTTACTCTTCAGGGCGTGCGGATTTGGACGCTGTCATGAAGAAATTGAATGTAGTGGATTCCTGATTCTGTGTCCTTAAGCTTACTCTAATAAACCTTTCGATTTTTTTGCAAAAAAATTGCTTTCTAGCCTCCTCCAGAAATTAAACTGTCTCCCCAAATACGAATTTGAACAACAATACAACTAATATTTAAGAAAATTGCATATTTTGTCTTTGTGCTCTTGCAATTCTTTGCGCTTGTCAGACCTTAGCCTGGTTCCCTGTCTCATCCTTGCCTAGTGATGCGAAGTAAACAAAGCAAAACAGGGACAGGGAACCAGGCTAGTCAGACCTTCGCTGTTTTTATCAATACATATTATGATAAATTTTGTTTTGAGGGTTTTAAGCAATATATTCAAGTTCCATTATCTGTTTGAATATCAAACAAACGTGGATAACTACAATTACTGATATTTTAAAATAATTGTTAAGACATTCGTACACGCTGTCGTTTTCACTTATTTTTCAAAATATAGGGTGACCTTTGAGTACTAAGCTTTTTTAAAAATGTTTCTTAAAAACAGTGTAAACTACTCCCGAAATGATTTCTATTAAATTTGCTATGTGTCTTAAAGTCAAGTCATACATCATCAAATATTATTTGTTGAAATTTGGCAAACAGTACATAAGTTGTTATATTTTTTTGTTGGCAAGGACGGTACCCATTTTTGATGTCCATTAAATAATTTTTATCACTGAAATCCAACTGCTCTTTTGTCTATAAAACAAGCATTGGCTGTTGTAAATGTCACATATTTCAGTGAATTTTTCTTTGGGATTTTTAACAAGTTTTACAGAAGCATTAATGAAGCTTTTATTTCACTCTAGTTTACTTATTCTTTACCATTCATCTATAATGCAGTGTCTCGAATAGCCCTTGTTTTCCAGCTTCTCACAATGAAACTATGTGATGAAAAGTGGTCATATAAACTGTTATAAATTCATTAAAGATTAAATAATGAGAGAAAGTCAAGCTTAATGTCATTTAATATCTGTATTGTATGTCAAACAGTTCTGGACATTATTTATTGAACAGCCCTCGTACTGTTCAATGGCCCTTTGAAGCATTCTGTTCAAAGACGCTAAAATATTTTTCCGAGTCTTATATTTCTTACCATGCAAGTTGATTGTTATAACTAGAACAGTCCATTTGTCAGAAATGTCCAAATCTCGGAAATGGAATGGTTCGATAAGGATATCCTTCCCCAAAAAGAACATGTTGACCATAACAAAGTGAGTCCTCTGTCTTAAGAATTAACGTCGTTTATCCAATGTGGATCTAGTTGTAGGGGATTTTTTTAAAATCATATTTAATGTGTTAAAAGCCTAAATTAAACGATATTCCAGGGATTTAATAAATATTAGGGATGTCAAAATTGTTAATAATTGATGTTCGAATATTCGATAGGAGTATTCGAATATTCGATAAAGAAAATAAATCATTTTATATTAAAATATAAATCTTCACTCTCCTGTCACGCAGTATAGGTATTTATGCCAATATTTTGGAACAAAAACTCATACAGAGTTTGGTAAATGTGCAATTATATATTTTTAGATTCTTAAGCATGTTCCAGATAAATTGGTCGTATCACTAAAGTCTACACTGATAACTCCTACAAATTTATACCAAGCAGAACAATTATCTAAAGGAGAAAGATTAAAAGCAATTAATTTTTGCTAATTAATTTCCTGATAATAATTTTTATTTTTTAATGATTTTTACATTAACAAAGGATCCATGTGTTTACTGTAAAGCTGTGTCCTTATAACAATACAAGCTGACTGTAAGCACTACACATTATTATACCACTAATTAATGATCAAATGAATAAATTACTTTAATAGATACACTCTTCACACCTTTATGATAATCTAAGAGGACTGTCTTTTAACTTTTTGTACAAACTTGATTCAATTTCTAATAAAACTTGCCAGGTTTTTCTCTTTTAAATGCTTGTACGTTTACAAAACGAATATTCGAATCATGAATTGTCGAGTAAAGATCTAAAGCAGCCACTCACGGGTGGCCTCTATATATGAGTGGAATCAAGAGGGACAAACAATTTTCCCAGTGGTAGAACATTATTTCAGGGGTCGGCAGGGGATGCTCACTACTCCATGGCACCTGATCCCACCTCTGATGCTTTGGAGGTTTGATTGCTCTGTACCTATTTTGTATTGTTTTATGGACTTTTGATCTTAAATACTGTTTGTTATCTCCACATGTTTCATTCAACGACAAGTCAAAGAAGCCATTATTAATCAAAAAATGGTGAAGAGTTAAATTTTGATGCATATATTTTACAGACATAAAACTTAATAGTGATTTACCCATGAGGACTGGTTCAAGGGGACCGTAGTTAGCGCTATTTGAAACATCTTCTCGAAACAGACACTGAGCACCTTCTTTTCTGAAATAAGCGTAAAAATAGTCAGACTTATTGTCTAACGGTACAATAATTGCAGACCTGTTTGTAGCAAATTAGTTATATGGAGCGAAGGTACATCATAACTAAATATTAAATACATGTAAGTAAAACCAAGATTTCATGAGTTACTTAAACACTTACAGGGGTAATACTGAAATATATGGGGTCCTTGATCGAAAGACTGTATTCTAGGCGAGGCGTAAGCCGAACCCTATATTAACTTTTTTCATTGAAGGATCTCATATATTTCTTAATAACCCTTCTACATAACGAAATTATCTTGAAGAGTTTTTTAATGTAGTTCATTTTTTTCATAGTAAGCAAAATGTTCCGTCAATAATTATACATACATGTTTTAACATAACAGCACCTAAAATATCAGGAAATCTAAGTTTTCTTTGCTGCCTTGTATTGTGTTCTAAGCAATTCTATGCAAACATTGTATATTATTTTGACATTGTGACAAAATCTTTCAAAATTCTTCCACTTTATCATGAAAATATTTTTTAGGTTATCTATCTGAATATAACTCTGAAAAAAAATCTTATTTATTCTTTAAAGATTATTTGACTTTCTTGTTGAAAGAAGATAGACAAACATATGCAACAAAATAAAAAGAGAAAAAACAAAAATCTAAATAAATATTTTTTTTCTTACACGAAGCACGAATATGAAAGTATACAAAATGTAAAAAAAAAATCTGAACAAAATGAAAGTATCTGACGAAGATTTAAATTTTTTTCTGTGATACTGTTCGTTATCTCTATATACATGTATTTCATACATTACGTGTACATATACTAAAGAACCCAAAAAAAGTATAAATTTTTCACAGCATAACACTATTCTCCAATAGAATTTTTGAAAGGTTACACAAAAACATAGAATAAATACCTATTTTACCCATTTTACATTGAAAATACAATTTTATGACATATTATAATCTTTCCAAGAGCTATTTTAAGTTCCTTTACTTTTAGAAGTCATCCACAAATATGATTTACATGACAATTTTTATTAAAAAAATGTATAACTGTGTTGAAGGGTTGAGAAGAAAATTAATTTTTATTGCTTAGGTTCGAGCATAGCAAATAAGAATCACTAAAAATATCTGAGGTTGGACCAGGTGCCTTGGAGGAGTAAGCATCCCCCGTCGACCGGAAACTCATGCCGCGTCCTCCTAGTCATGATTGCGTAAATGGAAAAACCCACAGACAATTTACTAGTATAAACAATTTTATTTAACAATTTGTATGAAAGACATCAGAGAAATTTTAACTGACGATGAATTATTTTTGCTGACAAGGTCATTGTACTGATCATAGAAATTACATGTATAGCCCTTAAACGAGTCTGTTTATTTCCTTGTTTCATCAACTTTTTGGTCAATAGCTTTCTGATTTCTGAAATTGTTCGGAGGTAGATCATGTCTTTTCGTATATATTTAGGGGACATGAACTTCAGGTACAGGTGAAAATGACATATTGCTTTATAAATAAGGTAAGTTGACGATAGAAAAGTTGAAGTTATCAAGTTTTTCATTAAGTTTTGTCGTCAGGTTACCATTAACGTCTAAAATGCTTGTTTGTCGTAATGATAAGATCATTGAAAGGTTTGAAATTATCATTGAGAATTTCTTATAATTGAAAGGTATAAAATTTAAATAATTATAATCTCAAAATTTACACATACTGTAGAAATTTATCAAAGTCTCTGATACTGCAAGAACTCCAGCGTGTCCCTTGTCCTCCCATCACACCTGTGTCACTTCCGGTACACCCTGCATCCTTGTCATGGCTCATTCCCAACCTTAGACAAAGTAAGGTTCATGAAAGTAAAAAAAAAATGCATTTTCTGCTCGATAAGTTCGATCGCGAAAACCTTTTAGAGAATATTGCTTTAATGTATGCTTCTCGATTTAAAAAGATGGTACCGGGGGGGGGGTTATTTGTCATTTTATTTTTGTCTTTTTATATCGAATATATAAGGATAACGGTAAGGTTAAAAACACATACACGTGTATTAAAAATACTAAAACTAAAGTTCTCATCACGATAAAATCACAGTAAATTCTGCATTTTCAAACCGTTTAAACTCATTTTGAATTAAAAGAATAACTTTGAAAAAATAAATTTGCTAAGTTATTTGGGATTTATATAGCAATTTTAATCTGTGCAATCAAACTTAATTCACAATGCTTAGAATTTCTGCCACCCTTAGATATGAAACTCGTAAACGTGCGTTAAATTTTGTGAAGACGCTTGTAAGATAAAATAAAAAAGGATTATTTAGCCATTTGCTTTTTATATAGCAATTTTAATTTTGTGGGAAAAAAAAACACTGTAAAAAGTCATGCCATTCCTAAAAGCGTTGTTAAAGCTAAGATTGCTCAAAATTCTTGTGGGAAGAGAGGATGTTTTGACTGTCTTTTCACAACCAAAGTTTTCTTTAATGCTTTACCAATGTAATATCCATATTTAATTATGTTACATAAAAAAGTGCAAAAAGTTGAGGTGGGTGGGGGTGGTGGAGGGAAGACGAGCAATCAGCGTTAAGCTTCCTTCCGGTGTATATTTTCAATAGCTTAAATTGTTTTTAAATCGCCTTAGGCCATACCCCTTGTTACTATCTGCTTGTAAAATAAGATAACCTCTGGAAAGATAAAAAAAATTCTGGATACGTGTCTGGTTTAAAAGTCTTACATGTGTCCCAGTTCGTGGGTGGTAGATGCATGCGCCACTACTTCCCCTCTGTCAGCACCACATTTAGTGCGCTGGCAGGCTCCGCTCTTCCACGCACGTCCCCCGACGTCCGTCGGCCTCCGCCTGAAAAGATCAGAGAACCCTCTGCTTAAACAGATATCTCTACAGCCTGTCTCGAGTACTGGGCTAATATCTCAATCACTGAGATAGAGACATCTCCTTTAAGAGGTTTATCAATGGCCTGGGCCTTTCTAATTTGGACAAATAGAACATTTGATTGATATGAGGAAACATATATTTAATATTGTTTTTAATGATTCAAATAAATTTGGTTTTTCATTTAAAAGGTATTTAATGACTTCTTTTACATTTAGTTAATCCGAGTTTTTGAGCATGCATTTTAGATTTTGTTTCAACACCATTCCTGACATATACGAGGGCTGTTCAATTAATTATGTCCTCGGTGCTCAGAAAGAAGCAAACGTTTTCAATGATTTAGTCATCATGATTTTACTTATTAATCTCTTTTATAATTCAAGCACATGTCTGTAACATTTTTTTATCCAATTTCTGATTGTTTTTTAGAACTTGTTTTTTGGAATGTGGAGGAGTCTGGAAAGCAATTTTTTTGCAAAAAGATCGAAAGGTTTATTAGGAAGGACCCAGAATCAGGAATTCACTTCATTGAATTTCTTCATGACAGCGTCCAAACCCGCATGCCCTGAAAAGTAAAAGGGTTTTCTGGATAAACAAAAAGTTAATGTTTTTTTCACATTAAGAATATTTGTCAGATCTTTGACCTTTTGACTTGTTTCTATTTCCAAACTTGAAAAAAAACACCTTTTTGAAGGAAAAACAAGTCCAGGAAATCACTGGATCTGCCATTTTCCAGTATACTAAGGGTCGATATTAAACTGTCTCCCCGAATACGAATTTGAACAACAATACCACTAATATTTAAGAAAATTGCATGTAAATCTGTCTTTGTGCTCTTGCATACCTATGCTTTTGTCAGACCTTCGCCGTTGTTATCAAGTACATCTTATGGTAAATTTTGTTTTGATGATTTTAAGCAATAGATTCATGTTCCACTATCTGTTTGAATATAAAACGAACGCGGCTAACTACAATTACTGATATTTTAAAATGATTGTTAAGACTTTCTTACACGCTGTTTTTTTCACTCATTTTTTAAAATATAGGGTGAACTTTGAGTAGCAAGCTTTTTTACTGTCAAACGTTTCTTAAAAACAGTGTAAAGTACTCCCGATATTATGTATACCAAATTTGCTGTTATTTTAAAGTCAATCATACATCATCAAATATTATTTATTGAATTTTTTACAAACAAAACATTAGTTGTTATAATTTGTTGTTAGCAAGGACGGTTCCCATTTTTGATGTCCATTATATATTTTTTATCGTTGAAATCCACCTGCTCATTTGTCTAAAAAACAGGCATCGATTGCTATAAAAGAAACATATTTCAGAGAATATTTCTTTGGGATTTTTAACAAGTTTTACAGCAGCTTTAATGTAGCCTTTATTTTCACTCTAGTTTACTGATTCTTTACCATTTATTTATAATGCAGTGCCTCGAAAAGCCCTTGTTTCCCAGCTTCTCATGATGAAACTATGAGATGAAAAGTGGTCACATAAACTGTTATAATTCAGTAAAGATTCAATAATGAGAGAAAGTCAAGTTTGATATCATATTATATATGTATTGTTTGTCATACAGTTCAGGACATTATTTATTGAACAGCCCTCGTACATTAACTTACATGGATATTTTAAACAATATTTATTTATTTCGATTGTCATTTGGGAATTTTTATATGAAAAACACATTCTTTTAGGTACATGGCATTGGGAATGAGGCAAATCCAGCCCTATGACTCACTTTGCAGGAGCAGATGCTCGTTCTTCTGAAAGTTGCAGTACGTTTATTTTTAAAGCTGTACAATTTATAACAAATAGCCATTAAAAAAAGTACGTACCCACTATGAAGATAGAATATGTCGTATTTAATTGGGTTGTCGTAGACTATTTCACAAAATGTATGCAGTGCAATATTAACCCTGAACGAGTTGTTGTAGGAAGGCTGTAAATACAAATTGTACATGCATTAGTGCATTCGTAGAATGGCCAGGACATTTTAAGCTTTTGAAAGAGAAAAAGTTAAATTGTATAGATTATACACTATACAGTTCCAACACAATTTACACATTAAAGTATAGCTAAACGTACGTAGCTACTAAATTCAATTCCTATAATTTATGTTACAATCACTGAGAAACAAAAGTCAATATTCCTTCAAAAATGATATTCACTTATAAGAGATTTTTTTTTCATTTTAGGTGTCAAGCGGATTACTGCAAACTATTTGGTAGGCAACTCGAGTTGTACGATTTGAATTACTTATTAGAAATCATATTGGGCCTTACATCCAAAATTAAATTATATTTTAAAAAATCAAAAATTGTAACCAGTAGACTTAAAACCGATGAATACAATAATAGTTATACAAATACCGGGTTGGTCTCCCAAAAACTCATATATTTAATCTGTAGTTTTACGTTGTACCCAAGTTCAGGACGAGAATATTCAAACTGCACCTGTATTAAACAGTCACATTTTTAAAAATAATCATACGTTAACAAAATGATGAAAAAGAAATGTTCAATGTTTTCTTCATTACAGCATTAATGCATTTAATTATACCCCATTGTACTTCAAGATCATGAGTTCGATTCTTTTGGCGGTTTCTTTCTTGTGAAGTAGTTCCGTGTAGTCCTTGTCTGTGTACACAGCCAATTCGATAACTACATCCTTCGTGGCGGTCTGTCTTCTATATTTGTTCTTTAGTTTTTCTCCTTGGTCATGATCAGCCAGTGCAGGAAAGACTGAAGTCTGAGAAAAAAGGTCTTTTTTGTAATTGCCTTTATAATTATTATTTTTCATATGAAAATTAAAGTTGATGTATGCAAATTGGCATTGGCTAGTGATGACCTATTTAAAAAGATGCGTTATTAACAAAGACTGATAAGAACGAGTTATAAAAGCCATATCTTACCATCATCCTTTAAACTTGCCCCGTCCATGTTGTTCTGTGGTCTTGTTTTACCAATTAAAAGAACAGTATCTTCGTCCGAGAAATTAAGTCCTTTGTTGTGAACTTTTGGCAGCTCTCTCAACTGGAAATCTCCAGATTGCGTGGTAATTGATCCTTTCTATATAATTATAATGTTTTATAAAAATTCGTTTGTTTACAAAATTATACTGTATTTTCATTTCAAACAGGAATTGGTTTCTAAAGATTCCTCGCAAATTAGAAAAAGTCAACGTTCTGATGAACTACAGTGGGGAAAGTGCAAACTTTTTATTTAAAAAAAAGGTCGTTGAAAGAAAAAAATGTACCAGGTCGTCATTTAAAAAAAATGTAAATACATGTACATGTATGAGATAAAAATAAATATTTTTAAATTTTTACGTACACTAAAGTATTAAGGTAGGACAAAACACCCGTGGATTCTATTTTAACCCATTCCTTAAAAATTACTGAAGGAAAACAGAATAATATTACTATATTGACAACATTGAATAACCCCTGTAAGAAACATAATAAGTTTTGGCATGTTTGCGTCATATTTTGTGAAAAAATCAGAGAATCCTATATATTGATCATTTGGGGGCTTACATTTTGCAATGTGTTTACGATATCTAAGTACAATGAACCAGCATGTAACAGTCTGTTATAAAATGCAGTGCAACTTTTGTTCCATAAATAGTAGAGGGGTGATATTTGGATACATATATAAGGAGTCTCTATTTTGCATGTACTACAAAGGTCAAGGTCATATCACGAGGTCAAAGGTCAAATACTGTGACGTCATCTACTGAATCTTTTGTTTTTTTTGCCATTGATTTTTTTTTAATCGCCAAAATATCTTAAACCACCGGTTCAATTTTCTTTATTTTTACACATTTTATTCTAGGACCTATTTGAATCATTCTGTTGATTTTTTGTAAAAATTGAATCATACATTTTCGCTTAAGAAAACATAAACTGTTGGATATTTACATTTGAATTTTCAGTTTCTGATACAATGTATGTTCTATTTTACTCAATATTTTACCCAAATTTTCCAGTATCAATGTGAGTTACTGATTTAAAGTAACAAAAAGGTTATCTTTATTGAAAGTATTACACAAATTTGCAATAGATCAATTGAAAATTCTCAAATAAGGCTCATTCTCAAGTCGACAATCTTCTTACAGGGGTCTGATAGGCCATATTTCAGTCTATGTGGGCAAAAAAAGTGCGGTTGAATTTCTTTCATATCATGTATAAAAAGAGATTTTGTATCCAAGAACAAAATATCAAAGTTTCAGAAAAAATGAATTTGAGGAAAAAATTGACCTTTGTATTTGGTCCTACCTTAAATTTCAATGAACAAAATCAGTTTTAAGTTTTAGAAATTTGAACTTATGCATTAAAATTCTTAAACTCGAAATAACAATTGATACATATTGATAGTAGCACTCTCTATAAATCATATAACGTATTTTTCTTCTACATACATGTACATAGAAATGACAGTATGGTTATCTGTTCTATTAGCCCTTTTTACGTTACCAAGCCTTCACAATGTGACAGAGAAGCAGTGCCGTTGTGTGAAGTCACGTGACCGACCAAGAAGCAATCCGGTATTACTCCCTTCCACTCTTGGTCGCCATCATCATTCCTGGTTACAATCCTGACTTCCGGGTGCAACACGGGTTCCGGTTTAGCCACTTGTAACTGGTAATCCTCCCCGAAAGCTGACAAACTGAGTTCTGTTGGTGATAACCCTCTAGTAAATAAACAGTTTTATGAACATGTAGTCTCTTCTCCATTGTTATTTGCTCCTTAAACCGTTTGATAAATATAGATATTTCAATAATGTATTAAAAGCCGAAAAATCAATAATTTATTGATTAATTTTCAAAAAGACATTGTAATTGATGATATGATATGATATGATATGCATGCACATGTATTTTCTTTTGTTTCCAAAACTAGATCTATTGTAAACCATTCCAAAAAGATACGTTGCAATCCGGTATGAGTAGAGTTTATTAAGACAAGAGTATTATGCCTAACATGTCCACAACAGATTGGCATTGAAGAGAGAGGATTGGCCTGAAAATTACAACAACAAGATCATGAAGGTCAATACTAAATCAAACGAGCACATCACCCTAAATAATGAAAAAAAAATAGAAGAGGTCACAGAAGTTGTCTATCTAGGAAGCAAGATCACCAAATATGGGAATTCTGAGGTAGATGTGCTAGCTCGGATTTCTAAAGCCACCTGATCGTATGTTGAACTACGAAAAATCTGGAGGAAAGATCAGCATAAATAGCAAAATAAGGATTTTCAAGAGTAACGTGCTTATGGTCCTCATGTATGGTGCTGAAGCATGGAAAGTTACAAAAACCATTTCAAACAAGCTAGATGCATTCCAGACATGTTGTCTTTGCAGAGTACTACGCACATCTTCTTGTCTAATACCACATCAAATGAAGAGATGTACAAAAAGACTGGCACCATTACTCTATCCCTAGTTATAAAGAAAATGATTGTGGATATGACATAATATATGTAGAATGCACCCAACCTCAATCCCAAGGGTTGCATTGAGATGGACACCAATTTGTAAGAGAAAGAGAGGAAGACCAAAAGAGACATGGAGAAGATCGGTAGAGAAAGAAATGAAAGAGAACATCTGGTCATGGGGACAGGTCCAAAGATGGACACAAGACAGGCCAACACAATTTAATTAAAATTAGATGTTAGATCCGCTCGCATATTCGAGCAGATCTAACATCTAATTTTAATTAGATTGAGGTCAACATAGACGACTCTGCTAAACAGCACGAAAAGGATTAAGTAAGTATAAGAAAGTGTTGAGCTGAAGCTAACTTTTAGTTAATTAGTTACTCTCCAGTAAAAAATAAACTTCTCACCTTTTCTTGTCCTTGTTAAGCTCTTTTAAACTAGATATGTCAATGGCTTCCATCCTGTCTGGAATTACAAATATTACACAATCAGACAGAAAGAAAAGAATAAGAATATTAGTTCATGCGTAAAGCAAGTACTAGTCAATTCTGGCAAAATATACACCCATTTCGTTGATTTGAGTGAAATATATTTTAAACTAAACTTACCTATGTCTCTTTCAAATAATGACTTAAGGGTTGATTCAGGTATCTTTTTATTTCCGTATATCTGAAATTGTATCTTTCATTGTTACATTGTAAGTACATGTATGTACTGTACACGAAGTTATTATTTCGTCATAGGGTTTCTCTGAGTCTGTCCGTCAATCTGTCTCTTGGTTTTCCAACTTTGTCCCACGCTTGTAGTTTTGAGCTGATTTTTCCTATGTGAACGCTTGTAGATATTGAGCTGATTTTTGCCTTTTTTGGTATGTGAGTATCTTGCTGAGTTGCAGATCAAGTTTACATTTCGTTCCTCATCATTGATTTTTGACAGAATTTAGGACTTTTTACTAATATTTTAACGAAAAATGTTTTTGAGGGATATGGAAATTACGAACAGTATTCAAAATGAAAGTCCATAAAACAATAAAAAAATACGAGCAGAGTAAATAAAAGTTTACATGTATCAATCAAAAAAAAATCAAATATGTGAATCTAAAATCTACAATTAAAAAATTTGATTTACTAAAGTAAATATTTTTATTTACTATAATTATTAGATATAGTAAACTTTCGTATTTTTGTTATGGTAATTAAGTACAGTGTATACTACATGTATAAAGCATGAATGTGAGTAATTTTTTATCTTTACATTTTAATTTCCGATGTAAAAAAAAAAATGGACAGGATGAAATCTAGAATTATTGTTTCCCATGTGTAAAAATAACTACAAAACTTTAAAAGGAAATAATTGGAGATAAGGAACTATATTCAAGATCAAAAGTCCATAAAACAATACAGAACAAACAAGGACCTCCAAAACATCAGAGGTGGGATCAGGTGCCATGGAGGAGTGAGTATCCCCTGCCGAATGGTCACATCCGCCGTTAATTAATGCTCAGAGCTCTAAATTGTCAGCAAAACTGTTATGTGCATTGAAATTATTTAAGAATCCATGGTGTGATTTTGCTCAGAAAATTTTATATTTAATATATCCTAGCTGGCTCAAAAATAAGGTATATACCACCTTTTTAGATCAGTTTAAACAAACATTGTTTAGTGATGTGCAAACTTCCCCTAAAGGTTTGAACTATAGAATTTTTAAAAAATCATTAATTTTTTAAGATTATTTGTTGACTTTGCCTCCCATATAATCGAAGAAATATTGTTTATTTAGAACTGAGAATTGCATGAAATTGGGGATGAATTTCATTACTTATTTATATGCACTGATGTATCTATAAAGAACTCAAGAGTTATGTATTTGTCAAAATATTTTTATTTGAACCCAAATATTTTGAAATTGGAAATGCTTTTTAATGTAATCAATACTAATCAACTCAGCAAACTATGTAAATTGTTAGATACCGGTATTATAATGGAGAGATGATATACTCTGTTTTCCCTCTCTTCATGCAATGTAATATTTCCTGTTTATTATACTGTACATATCTTCTCTTCACTGTTCTTTCAGTTATAAATAATGTTCAAGTGATCGAAATAGCAATTAGTTAACTGAAAAACATGGAATTAACGATAAATTGTATTTGCTGACAAGGTCCTTTTATCGACCATAGAACTTACGAAATGAGGACTGTAAACGACAAAATGAGTTACTATATTCTAATGGTAGTATCAGTCAAATACCGGTATGTACGTTTTGCCATGAAATTGATATCTTTTTCAAGATATTCTTTAAAATAATTCCAAGAGGAACACAATATATTTAAACAACGTATAGATATAATACAATTTCTTGGTATTTTAGAATTTTCCTCAGTCATATCTTAATGATACAAACAAAGATACATATATCAAATCATGCATCAAACATGTCAAATGAACTCTTATTGTAGCATGTATATACCTTCAGTAACAAAGTTATAAAACATTAAAGAAATATCAAAAACAGCTTTTCTCGTGTACCTCATTTTCCCCTAAAAAGTAGATCTTGTTTTTATTTGTTTCATAGTTACTTACAATTTGATCCAAAAATATATATACATTGTATTATGATTTCGATAAGCTTAAATACGTACCTCAGCGCCATGACAATATGCTACAAAGAAAAAAACTGTCAATGTTCCCAAGGAAGCCAACATTTTGCTCGGCAAAGTAGTCTTCCAAAGTTCTGATGATTTGCAAGCCAATCGCTTGATATATATGCTGCTTTTTTGCCTTTTACTCCTCCCCCAAGTTATAAATATTTATAATTAATTATATATTGAATTCATTTTTTTTCTCTAATCTGTACACTATTATATTATGCCTGTGGGCTATATTGCTCTTGTGACTATTTTAAAAATCTTTGAAAAAACTTTTTTTTGCAGTATTTAAATAAGCCTCATGCTTTTTTAAAACAAAATTTGAAATAGTGGAATATCTGAAGCTAGAGACATTTCAATTCATACCGAGTATTTATCCTGTCAATAGAATTCTATTCAATAAACTTGTGGAATGAAAGTGACACTTATATAGTAACCAATCAAGTATATATTGCATGTTGCAGGTGATTTCATATATTACTTCTGGTTTTCTGGGTATTAGAATGCTAAAACATGAACAATACACAATAGGAGCAGAGCAAACACAGACCTCTAAAACATCAGAGGTAGGATAAGATGCCATGGAGGAGTGAGCATCCCCTGAAGACCGGTCACACCCGTCGTGTGCTCCTTGTCATGATTCTACAATTAAGTGTGTATATATCGACCACAGAACTTACGAAATGATAATTTTAAACGAGACTGCTGATATTCTTGTTTCAGCGACTTGTTTGTCATAACTCACCTCGTTTTAGAAATTGTTCATACGTTCTTGCGTATCGAATCAACTGAGAATTTAAACCCCGTGTGCAGGTGATGAAGGAATATTGCTACATAAGTAAAGTAAACTGACAATTGAAAAGTTAAGGTGTCATTTCATTTGCCATAAAGTTTGGTTGTTAGATTGCCATTAACATCTTTTTCACGTAAAACATCTAATTCTAAAATCGATGTGTCAGACTCTGTGGTATCTTTTATTTCAAACTCATCGTGGTATATCGTATCGATATAAGAATGGAAATAACCATTGCTAACTGACAATACGTCGTCGATGTATCTAAAAGTCGAGTTGAAGGTCACAGCAAGTGTTTTCTTCTTTTCTCGTATATATAACACATTCTGTTTCATTTGAATACGAAAGTAGGTCTGCTAATAACGGGGCATAATTAGTGTCCCTGGAAATACCAATAGGTTGTTGGAAAACCGGGTGTCCAAAAACCACATCTATATTGTCAATCAGAAACTTGGCATCTTTTTGATGTCAACTTTAGAGTACTTGTGTGTGCAATCAGAATAAGACCAATGACAAGGTAAGTAAATTTATTAGTTCTATACGTTCGTTGGAATAACAGCTGTCGTCAATGACTGGACTTAATTTATCGTATGGAATGGTTGTACTGGGTATATGAAGTTGAAAAGTCGCTATGTTTTATTGATACTGATTTTGGTAAAAAAAAATTATTTCAAATTTTCTAAAAAGTTTCTTGACATTTTTAGTATCCACATCTGATTTACACCACTTCTCGAATACAGTATATTGTTGCACAGTACACCAGGATTTTCTCCTTCACTACTATTAATATTTTAGTGAGGAGTAAAGAAAAAGGCTTGGTAGATCATTTAATGGAACTCGCTATATATCTTTGTAAGGATTTTTATGAAGTTTTTGGAATCCAGTATAGATATTGCAATTCAAATTCATACTGGTTGTTAGGTATATAACAAATTGACATCTAATTTTGAAGACTTTCCTCAGAGAGGGAGCTATGGGTATAAGTTATATTACCACTCGTAGAATTAAATCCCAGTTTCTCTCAAATACAATTTAAACTAGAGGTACTGAGCTCACTAAATGATACCCCCTATCTCCCATATGATTACAATGACAAAGTCCGTGATTTGCTCTTGGAAACCAAAAATAAGTGCCAGATCAAAAAGTAAAATAGTCCTAAGGTCACAATGGCATTAGGTTATAAAGAATATGTGAAAGTATCATTAAATTGTAGTCAGTGGTAAAGGAGGAGTTGCGGATAAGAGATGTGTACCCTTTAATAACAGAAAAAATTGCAGTGTCCATGTTTTACTATGGGAAACCTAAAATATGTGTCGGATCAAGGAGGAAAATAAGAGGTGCACAATGGTACCATGTAACAAGGATTCTGCGAAAGTCTCGTTTAATTTAATTTATTTAAATGGTATAGGAGGTTCGAAAGGTCATTATAGTGGCAAAGTCCTGGAAAATAACATAATCTAATTCCTCTATATATATATATATATATATATATATATATATATATATATATATATATATATATATATATATATATAGAAAGAAAACAACTATGTATATATGCTGCATAGATATCCAAATTGTTGATTAAGTAAGAGTGGTTGGAAGACATATCCATGGTACTAGTATTTGAAGTATCTGATTTGTTTGTAAATTGAAAAATATTAGAATGTTTAGATAAATGAACCACAGATACCTGAAGTTACTTAGTTTATTATTTGGTACGAGTATATATTTTTTTTATTTACAAAAAAAAAGTAACGTCAGGTGCCTGTGAAATAAACATAACACTTTTTCATTTATTGTCTCCAAGATGTTTCATTTGTATTTACATTTTTTCATGCATAGATATAAACCTTAATGTACATTAACCTTTAATTGAGATATAATTCTAGAATATGATTCATAACAAATCAAATTGTCGACTTGGAAACAGCTGATGATTTAGGTTAAAGAGTGGTGAAAATCAGTCAAAAATGCTTATAAATATATCCAATTAAGTTCCAACAAAATGAAAAGATATGTTTAAAACACCGTCACATAAGAAAAATGTTATTAAAAAATTAACAAGTTCAATGTAATAAAAAACACAATAGTCAATTACGGAAGATTGCAAAAATGTGAAATAAAAGTTCACGTGTTAGGTTCTTTGGTTTCATTTCTAAACTTCCTGAAATAAAAGTTCACGTGTTGGGTTCTCTGGTTTCATTTCAAACTACATGTATATGTTATTCCTAATCAGGGAAAATGTTGATGGACAAATAACA